CTTCGCCTGCCGTGTTGTGATGGTCGCTGGGAGGGACGAGGTCTTCGCTCTGCATTTCTACATGTGAGATGACGTTTATGCGATTTATAGCCACGAAATTTACCTTCAGCATGTATGGAAAAATCTCTGTCCATGACCATCCCTCATCCCCTGTGTATTCAGCATACCGGTTCCAGTCATCTTCAGACCCTCTATTCCACAACATATAATCTGTAATAAGATGTAGATGTAGGCCTGGGCACTATAATCTGACTCCGAAAAAGTATAAGTCTTACTAATTGTACTGCTTCCACCTAATATACGACCGCGAGGATATTGTATGACTCGATTATTAAGACCGGCTTGGGGAGTCGTCGTGTAATTCCAAGTGAGGGGGGTGTTAGGGGATAGGGAACTGCAAAGGAATGGAATTTCGACTTCCACATCATCCTCGTTTCTACAAGATATCAATGCTCGTCGTTTGAATCCCACGGGCATGCACACCTGGACTCACGTTATACCCGCTTCGATGAGAAGGACAGAGAAACTGGAGACTTCAGTCAGTCGGTTGGCGACCACGCTCCCCCCGATACCCGCTAACACCAGTGAGCGGACGTAGATGATGCACAGAACAAAGGAACGACTCACCTCCAACGATCACGAAATCGTACTCTCTCTGCGGCAGAAGTGCTGGATCAGAATATAATGCGCATTGGCCAAATGGCAGGGCGGAGGCTATTAGTAGCACCGATGAAATCCAAAGACGCATAATTAGGGGGATTTGGGGGAGTATTCCATACGCAACAGTGATTTAAGGCATTCTTTGTATAACTCGGGAGCTGTACAATCACAGTTGGTGAAGGCAAATCGCATAGCCAATGTAGGACAGAATGATCGAATTGGTAAGGCACTCGGCGTGCCGAGGAACAGGAATGCTGAGCGTCATTAGCACATAAATCATTGTCACAATGTGCGCTCATTAATCCAGGAGCTGATGCGATCCGGCGGGAGTTAGCGCCCTCTCCGGTGATGCATGATACATCATCAGAGAGGCCGGCGCCATATATAGTCTAAGACTCAAGCCGTCTGTCAGCCTTTACTTGCCCCCATTGATTGAACCCCATGAGTTCAATCAATGAAGGCAAGTATTCAGAGACATAACGAATGACGTTTCGTAAGACCTGTATCTATAGCTCTAGTAGAATCTATAGACTTTGTACGATGAGCGGGCAGAGACAGTCGCCGAGATCCACTTAGTCCGATGAGGATCGGAAATCAAGCGCTACATCCGGTGTTATCGGAACCCAAGTGAGTCGTCGGCGTTGCACAAGGCTCCCATGATTGTGATTCACGCCCAGAAAACCATATACGTACCTCGTGTTACGTGCCCCTCGTTTCTAATATTATACTTATAAGAAACATACTTGCATGTGAATCGACGATGTCTGTCTAAGACTTTGAGTAGCCGAGGTGAACACTGTGGATGATGTCTGCACGATGGCTTGTCAGAGATTGCTAAGTATAGTGAGGCACAAAATTCCGGCCGAAATGTGATGGTGCTAGATTTCCCGTGTTGGCGCTGCCGCGTTGACATTGCATAAGTACTTACTCCAAGTCGCTGGCGCAGAATGCCATTTGAGCTTGAATTTATTGGCGCCGGTAGCTTACCGTGTGCTCCCTATTTCCCCATTCCTTGCTGTCGAAGAGTGCTCATAGACTGATAGAGTCTCATACTTGATCATCTCATGACATCCCGCTGTAGATGGCGGTGTTTTGCGTTCTTGAATCATTCATGCATCGAGCCACAGTACAATCAGATGCATGTGCCTGAATTTGACCCCGAACAAGCTTAGTAAGTATTCCAATGGGGTAAATAGCGGTAAGTACGTACTATTTGAAATCTGAACTACCATCTCTTGGCGCAGTGCACTTCCGACGGTTTAACACAGAACATCATATGGTGCCGGCGGTCAACGGAGAGCGCAGAGACGAGCCCAGACTCTTGCCCATCCTCCGCTCCGAGGGAAGGAGACTTCAAGCTTCAATTTACTAAACCAGATCAAGAGCTGAGTTACTTTAAGTATGAATATTCACGTAATCTGTGGGTGCCAGCTAGCGAGATTGCGCTCCTCCTGGCTCTACCCCTCGAAGCCGGATGGGCAGGAGCCTGCCTTCCTCATCGTATTACATTTCTCACACATTTATTTCGGCAAGAACCAATATTACTATTATACAGTCCTATGCAACTAGTCCTACGTTAGAGTCAAGCTTCGAAGTCGATCGATGGCTAGGGTATCAACTAATAAGTTATCGTACCAACACATACAACATTCAATAATAGCCACATGACGCTATGCAAACGCAGGGAGCTTTTTGCAGGCCTGAACGGCGAAATATAGAGCAATTGTTAAAGGCTGGCCCTCCATGCTGAAGACGAAATGACTCCTCGGACTGCTCTCGTCCAATAACCACACGAGCAGCGTAGCGTAGAGGGAGCCAAATACGATATACACGTTGTGGGAGAAACTGATGATGTTGACGGCATGCAAGAACGTCAGGAGCACCTTCGTCTTGAGCACGGACTTAAAAAGCACTGGCAAGGTAGGAATTTCCTCTTTCAGATCGTCAATGTAGTCGCGAACATCTGCCATCGTCTAAACAATCGCATGTAAATGACAAACTTCAGCGCTAGAACGTGCATTGTGCGCACCGTATGGCAGATCCAGTTGATCGTAGACCATATAAGTAGCTGTGTTGGAGTCCACATGCTTGATTCGTTGTTCAGCAACCGTGGAGACAATACGGAGTGTACCACGGCGAACGTCCCACAACTATCATGATATAAATGTTGAGAAAATCACTTGGATATGTCAGTCGCACGATCTGACTCACCCGCGGATCACCCCAATAATAATAGCTTTCATGCCAGGTATACGCTTTATAACGAACCCATGCTTGAAGAACCCAGCTGGCTCCTCGTCGTCTCCCCGGGCGTTGGCCACATCACGTATCGGTAACCAGAATAGCGGTCTGTTCCAGACCAGCGCAGGTGCGACAAATAATGCTGTGATAGCCCACGTCTGTATAGGAGAACACAAGAGGGCGCCAAATAATATACACGCGACGCAGATTAACATCATACGCGCTTGAGTGAATACCGATACAACGCCATCATTCCCTGTCGCTCGTGCTTGAGCGAGGTTTTCAGCATTGTCAAGGTAGTGATCAAGCCCCATGGCAAGAAAATCGGAGCAGGTGAATATGACAATCTGCAAGGTAGATCAGCTTCATGGCAGAACGGGCGATAGACGGGTGACATACGGGTCTCCAGTCCAAAGTGCCATATACCCCATAGGAAATGAGTGTCGTTAAGGATAGACTGGATACACACGATAGGCTAGGGTAGAACAGAAGCTCGCTCTGGAAGAAGGGGATCGACAAATCCATGACTGAATGGCGAGTGGTACAGCGCCGGATATGGCCACAACAGCTGCAGCTAAAGTCGGGCTCTACATAAGGAGGAAAACCCTCAGTCAGAGCGCCTGACTCCTCGGTCTGAATCAAGCTGCGGGGACGTTGTTCGATAAGTTATCCCTCGGCTCCTTTCCCATCCATGATTAACCGGGTGCGATTGATGCACGAGGCAGTAAGTGTTTGATCCGTAAGCGGGGAAGGCAGAGTCCAAATAGAGCGGTTTTACTAGTCAGCCAGCCATAATTATGGCCGAGCTGGATCAAGCCGGGCTCCAAAATCACAGCTTTGAGCTCTGTCAAAGTATCTTCATTTGGCAGGATCTAGGTGCCACGGTCGGACTCACCCCAACCTGTAATTTTGATGCTCAGCGGCATGTCGGCAAGCCATAACTATGGCTAGCAAAACCACTCCGTAATTCTTCATTAGCCTTGCTTCAGTGAGCGCTATGAGGCCAAATGATTGAACAATGATTTGTCCTTCTAGTTGCAGCATGGCATCATACCGAACGGCGTAGAGACAGCCGCACCGCCGTGTCTGTGTCACAATCTTTACACCTGCACACAGAGTCGATAGACTGCCGGTCTGTCATCCACTTGGTAAAGAAAGAGTCAGTCACACATTCTTCATTAAGATCAGTGTGATCTAACCTCCGACTGGAAGTTTACCCCCGTGGGCTGTTGGCAACGGGAATGGGTACGAATCCAAAGCGATATATCAACCGAGACTGCCCAATTCGAGAAGTTAGCATCACATGACAACTCATGGGCTCCACCCGGCGCCGATAGCTGAGGATTTTAAGTCTCCGCTCCACTAGCTAGTCTTCGGCACCAAGTTATGCTTGTTTATCAACTATTCGCCATGCAACCCCCACTTGGTGAATGGACGCCATCAAAATAAAGTACAAATACGAAAACCTTGCGCCATCATTGCATACGGGTCTTGCCAGTCGGCTGTTCGTCGCGAATGAACGTTCGTATTTATCGTACACGTATGCACCTTCCGGAGCTACCAGAGATCTTCTGCTAATCGTGACATAATGATAGGCTGTGGGAAGATTGAGCAGCCAACCGCAGACTGGTTGGTGCCGGTGTCAGGATTGGCAGGCACTTCGATCGCCGACTCGGATTTTAAATACCATCTGCTCCAATCACCATCTGTCCGACGGGCCCGAGATTACATAGCCCAGGGTGAAACATATAGACTTTCCCTCCCCGACATCCGCGTCTACCGTATGAAATATGCCCATCACGCTGCCTTGCGCCTCGCATCTCCGATACCTTCGAGCTGATCCGGAATGAGCGAATCTCAATGTATCGAGAGATGGACTGTGATATAATCGGATAGGGCTTCACACGTGAGTACCAGTTGGATCATACGCGTTGTTCCGCTGAGAAGTCATAATTGGCTCGTCGTCGTATCAGCAACGAACAATGCGACATGTCTTCACAAATACCGTTGCTAATAGTAAGTATCTAATGAACTGGACAAGCGCACACTCGGACGAAGTGAGTGTGTGTCCAGCGGCAACACGGAATCTGGTCATGAAGATCGCGACATTTCACACCGCTTTGCGGAATGATAGGACAATTTTCTGTAGTACGCAGTCGAACGCTCATAATTCGCGCATCATGCCCTTGCATGCAAAGTAAGTTACCCGCTGAGTCCTTACAAACCTGATGGAGGGCAATCTGCATTTCGTCTGTCCAGAGGTCAAGCAACTCATCATTCGATCCGTCAAGCCATCGAGAGCGCGTGTCAGGGCTGTCAACGAGTCGTCAAATTTCGTCGTGAAGGAGACGAGAGGTGGCGCCGAACCCTGCCACTGCTCCGTTGTGTGCAGAATATACGGGGTCAACTTACCAATGTACAAAGCACCGCAATATATGCTGCGTCCAATGTGGTCAGACTGTCACTCGGGCAATGGGCCAGCTACTAGATCCGGAGAGGGGAACCGGTACCCCACCGAAAAATTGCATTGCGCGTCTAGTTTCAAACCCATTCGAAAGTGCTTGCCGGGCAAGCGAACGAGCGGACCGCCGGAGGTCCCGAACTCGCCGGCTGACGGGCTAGCGGCGCATCTTAAATTTGACGCGAATGTCCATCTCAATCACCGAATGTTGCAGCCTTAAAGCGACTAGCATGGGTTGAAGTGGGCGGTTCGCCCACTTCAACCCGGTAGCATTGTGGGCCGCATGATCACAACTTACAACAATCCGAGAGGAGCTGATGGCGCAGCTGCGCTACAACGGGTATAATCCAGCCTCCACAGCAGTGCCGTACTGACTGTGACATATGATAGACGATGACGGTACGAGAATGATCTCGGGTCAAACGACAGTCGGCGGCGAACTACGGTGAGCGCTTACAAAACCCGGCAGTGATTGTAAGCAATTTGGAAACATACTAGAGGTCGTAACTGCACGCTCACTCTTCGATAAAGGTGTTGCGAGAGCGAGCAGTGAACCTGTTGCAGTGTCTATTTCTAAGCTATGCTTATCCATTATTCAAGGAGATGCTTAGCAATCAAAGTACCGGCGGTCCGAGATGTTGATAGCATCACGTTCCGGCTTGACACGGCATCATTGTTCCGGGTGCTGATCCACAATTCTAGTGTATGCTCCCATACTTCCCATGTGTTATCCACGACGCACGTGGTGTTCATGTCGCAGATTTACAGGAAGTTAACCATAAATGGCGACAACTCACCGTGGTGTCAGATGGCAGAATGAATGAATTTCTGTAGACGAATGGCGCACACAATCAGTCTATGATCCCCCTTCCTCGACAAGCTGACTTGGCAGGCATCGTTTGATCCCGACCCCGACACCTCTCCTTACATTGTTCCAGAATCTGGACTTCCAGAGTCGAATGTACCTGCTGAGCGTTTAGGTTGGTCCATCAGCGTACGAAACGCATCTTCTCGCTCAGGAAAACCACTGGCTTCCTTGTCTTTCGAGCGGGTGTTACATAATCCTCGTCGCCCATCTTGCACTGACGCCCATATATATATTCTAGGATCCGTGGTCAGGAAGACTGCTGCCGCCGCCTATCGGCCCTTCCGCTCTCCGCACCATGACCGGGCCAAATCTTCACTTGGATTCTACCGTAGGCTGCTTTTTCATTGGAACAGTTCTTGCGACCCAGTGCGGCTCATTTCGCTTAAGACTTTGGTTCATCGCTGACAATCGAGTAGAATCTATGGCGTCACCTGCGCTCAAACACTGTATTATTCTCGGAGGTATCCCAACGATCCCTTGTTTCTGAAGGGCCTAGTGCGTCTCGAACAATAGAATCACTGCTGGGTCTCTTAACATTTCCTAGGTTGGCGTGCTATGGTTAGTGAATGTGTAAGAAGTACACGTTCCGAGTCTGACTCGCCACAAGGGTTCTTGATTCTGTAGCGACGATCCTAACCATAGAGGTAATCACACAGTTCACGAATGGAGAGGACATCTCATCGCAAAGCTCTAGTATCTCTATTACTTCCTTGTTGAAGGGCACGGCAATCCTATTAAGCTTACGAATCTACCTGCGTGAGTATGGTTTTTGCCTCTACGTATTGATCTTTATTCATTGTACAACACGCGTCCAGCACCGGTATTGTAAGCTGTTGTTTTTGACTTAGATCTGATCAGTCACACTGATTTGGTCAACGATTTAGGTCGAGTATATTATCTCAGTGAGTTCCCGGCAGTTGAGAAGTGGAGGCTCGCTTAAACCGAAACATAGTCACTCGTTGTTATCATTGCACAATTGTGAGCACATATTCGTTATCCCCCCTGTCGAGTTAGGCTCATCACAGCGTAGTTACTATTTGGCTACGATCTGGAGATGTGAGTAGGTATCGGCTATTTGATGTATTTTCCTATTTATCGCTGAGTTATGGAAGTGCTCACCGGCAAATCTTATCGATTGGTATTGACGGTGGTGGCGGTATGTCTTCCCTTGGGTTCTTCTGAGCACCTCTCACGTGAGATGATAGGTTGCAATCGCGCTCGTCTCATGTGGTTCGTCAATTCTTCCCTCTATGTGTTCATATGCATATTTTGAAGCTCGCGCCCTCAGCTTGCGGATTTGGTGAGCTTTCATCTTTGATACTGTGAATATTCACCTTATGTTCCCAATCTTAAAGGCAATGCCTATGAAGCGTAAATGTCTACATTAGTGGAGCCCGTTTTTGCTACTGATGATATGTGATTTTGCGATTTAGATTTAAAGATCCTACCAACCCAGGCGTTTACTCCAAGACCAGGGTAATTAGTGCTGAACATGGACTTCCTCGTGATTGACCTGACTTCTTGCCCAAGGTTACGGCTTCAATTCAGCCAGTCACAGCTTCCGTCGTGGATGTCTATATTACATTGGTTCTTATTTGGATCTTGCGAAAGGAGAGGATAGGCTTCAGAAAGTGAGTTTACAATGACTGCGCTCGTATCCGGATTCCAAATCTAACATTATCACACATAATAGCAATGAAAGCGTGGTTCGAAGGCTGATTTTCTTTATTGTCAATCGCGGAATCTTGACTGCGTGCGTGTGATGCTTATTATTTTTGTTTTGCGAAGCCACCATATACTGATCCGTTTTACAAACAGCCTGGTTCAAACTGGGCAGGCTACTGCCGTGAGTGGCACCATGTTTCTTAATTTCAGTTTCTCACAGTGACATCGTACTAGTATCTCGCTGCAAGTACCAATGTCCTGTATTGGTCTATCTTCCATTTTCCGGGAAGCCATAGTACGTCGGCCTGTACTCCCAGCGCATTTCGAGCCTGATAAGATTTTACATATAGTCTACGTGAATTCCCTGCTTGCCATGTACGTAATCCTTCTTTCGGGTTGGTAGATCCTCTGATCGGCTTCTCACAGGCTCAACGCTCGCCAGAATATCAAGGAAGAGAAGGTAGGCAACTTCAGTTGAATCTCCTGACTATTTACCCTAATGCCGCTTTAGGCCATGGAGATGAGATATATTGATAGTAGGACCAGGCCTTCGTAAGTCTTGCAATCTAACAGGCTGTTCAATGTTCATTGACCAATATGCGCAGAATGGAGCCTGTGGTGATGCTATCGACTGAGGTTGTTACCGATAGTGACTCATTCCATGGTCGGCCACATTACTAATGATCCTCACGAATTATTATTTTGTATGTTCTTGTAAGGAGATACCACGGACAGGAATGTATAAAAGCCTTCACTAATTTGTATATGTATGATCACCATAATCTTATAGCATTGCTCACAGCTGGTTACAGTAAATTATGTAGTGCTTTCGAAAGAGATAGATTAACTTATTGTATTTGGCCTTCTTCTAGTTTCCATTTGTAGCGTCTGACGTAAAGTATTCGCTTTCATTAGTATGTTTCGATCTGAAAGAACTAATGTCGTTAGGCAACGATTCGCGTTAACTTCATTACATTGCGTTTCAATTTCTCCCTAGGTTTTGGAAGACCGTTTTATTTGGTAGCATCCTCCTGCTCAGTACTAGCCAAACAGTATCCATGCCTAAGCACGCCAATGGCTCACGGCTGCATAACGCGCACACGCTCCTCCTGCATCCACTCTCAACTCCCACC